CTGGTCCTGGTTGTCCAGGTACTCCACCATCTGCTTGATCCTATAAAAAAATAAAGTACATTAATAAAATATTTCACCATGAAAAAAGAAAAGCCTCAACTTACAGATAAACACATGCCAGGCATACCAGGGAAACCACGATCACCTAACAAAAAGAATTCAAATTTTTATTTAAATGAAATTAATCATACAAACCTTTGTCTCCTGGTAAACCATTTTGACCAGGTCTTCCTGGACTACCCTATAAATCAATACGCAAAAAAAAAAAAAAATTTTTTTTTTCTTCTTCAATATTTAACACATCACATACATTTTGACCAGGATAACCAGGGCTACCACGATCTCTGAAATAAATAAAAATCAAAAATAAAATATATTCAGTCAAGATTCAATGATCTTACCCTGCTTGGCCTGGGAAACCAGCTTGACCAGGTAATCCAGTAGGACCCTATTACAACATAACAAAAATATTAAAAAAAAAGTTTGATTGAGAATAATACTTACTCGTGGTCCAACAGGGCCTGGCATACCCTTTTCACCAACTAAACCTGATGGTCCAGCAGCACCAGGAGCACCAGGATAACCAATCTCACCAGGTTCTCCTTTAGATCCCATAGCACCCTGTCAATAACAATGAATTATAAAAATGATGAGTTTTTGTTTTTAACACACAAAAAAAACGTTTTACTTTTGGACCAGCAACACCAGGAATTGATATTGGAACATAAGTGTTATTACCTTGTACTTCTGCATAACCTGGAGGTGCATAGGGAGAAGATGAACCCTAAATGAATTTTTGAGAATACAAGTATTCATTATAATTTTCATGCTTACTGGCTCTCCTTTTTGACCTTTTTCACCAGTAAATCCAGCACCAGGACTTCCTAAACAAGTTAATAGAAAATTTAAAAAAATATCAATAAAATCTTCTTTTTCATCTTACCTGGAAAACCTGATTCACCACGATCACCTTTTTGACCCTAGAGAAAAATTCATTTTCGTAATACTAAAAGAAGAAAATAAATATTATCTTGCTACTCACTGCACGACCAGGAAAACCAACAGAGCCTGGTGATCCAGGAATACCAGCATTTCCAGAAGAACCCTAGGAAAATTAAACAATATTATCAAATAAATACTAAAAAAAATTAGTAAAAACTTACAGCAGCACCGGGAAGACCGGGAGCTCCTGGTGGTCCCTAAAAATTAAATATAATATATTTATATCTATGAAAAACATATGTTGTTGTTTTTTTTTGTATGCATACGATTTCGCCTTTGTATCCAGGTAAAGCTTGTGCAGGTTCACCTATTTAATAAAAAAAAAACAAAATGACATTGTTTTTATTAAAATTATTCTTTCATACCTTTGGGACCTCGTGGTCCAGGAAGACCTGAAATATAAAGGAGAAAAAAGTATAAATTAATCAATTTTGTCGATATACGTACCAGGTTCACCGGGACGACCGCCCTAAATAAATAATAAATTAATTAGAATTTTCCCAAAATTAAAAATAATCAATATATTTTACCTGTCCACCAAATCCATCTCGGCCAGGTTCTCCCTATAATAATAATAGTATAAAGATACAGTTCTTTTTCTTTTTCTATTTATTTTTACTTTTGTTCCATTGCATCCATCACGGCCAGGTAAACCTGAAAAAAGTCAAAATGTTCATTTTATCCTTTCTCTTAAATATTGATTATTTACCGTTTGGTCCCTAAAATAAAACAAGAAAAATATTATATATTAGACTAATTTATTAAACTCACTTTTGGACCTGGAAGACCAGGTAAACCGGGATGACCTAAAACAAAAGATATTTGCATAGAATTAAAAAGAAAACAATAATATCATTTTTGTTTTTCATACCAGGCATGCCTGGTTCACCGGATCGTCCCTATTTATTGGAGAAAAAAAAAATAATTATTATAAATAATTAATTTAATATAAAAACAATGAGACTTACTCTGTCACCTTTTTGACCGGGTAAACCTGGTAAACCTCGTTCACCTTTGTCTCCTTTCAAACCCTCAGGTCCTATAAATCAAATATAATCAAATTTCTATTCATATCATAATATGAGCACACACAATATACCTTCAGGACCAACAATACCATTTATTCCTCGAGTACCAGGAGGGCCCATTGGGCCAGATGGACCCTAAATATATATGTATATATGAATCACATCGTGCAACATTATTTTTTTTTTAATTTGTGTACCTGGTCTCCTTTTTGTGCTATACAAAAACATGGTTGATTACAATTGTCACAATTGCTACCATTGCCATTTCGTGGTGGTTGATATTGGGCTGAGCCATAGCCAGGTGCAAAAGCATAGCCGGGTGGTGGTGCTACCGGACGGGAATCTGGGTACTAGAAAATAAAATAAACATATTTATAATGTATATATTCATTTTTTTTTATTGTAGATGACTTTATATATTTCCTGTAACTAGTGCTCTTTAAAAATATTTATTTTCTCATTTTTGAATTCATCGAATCTATACATTGATAATCATAGAGAAATTATTATTATTATTATTACTGTTAATCTTAAATAATTGAATTATAAATTTATGTGAGTATATGAACATACCCTTTGTTGACCATTGCTTGAGTCAATGAAAATGGCGAGGACAAGTACGATTAAAATGGAAGCATAGTTTAGCCTAGAAAAAGAAAATATATAATTCAATTGATTTCACACATATAAGAAATGTTTCTATCTATCCTTTAATGAACCTTAGTAAAATAAAAAATAAACAAAAGATCTGTCTCCAAGGTATCCTTAGGTATTTTCCCGTGTGCTGATATTTATCTATTAAACAAATCACTAAAAATGATATATGTACATATATAAGTACAACAATATGATGTATGATATCGAATAATCAATGATCAGTATAACTTACTTAGAAATATTCAAACATAGCCATTTTTTATTGATGTTTATTGTTGGAAACATTCAACATGCGGTTTTATGAATGATTTATAGAAAGAAAAAAAACTTGTAGTATATATATTTTCTGTCTCTGTCTAACTGTCGTACATTAAACGGTTCGATAACGATAGTTTGTTTATTGTTGGTTACAGCAGCGATAAAGTCCTTCTGTTTTTCCTGGTGTCTTCGAGTACTATCATCATAGACATCAGACCACAGTGTCCTTCGTACCATTCCTGTTTGCTATCGTGGTGCGATAATTAATAATTCTCGAATAGTGTACAGGAAAGAAGAAGAAGAAGAACTACATCGTATGAATATACAAGGCGATAGGAGAATCATATAGAATGACGAAAGCAGACTGATGAGAAAGTAAAGCAATCAAACAAACAAGAGAAGAAAAGAGAACATGATAAGCCAAGGATTTATTATGTGATCTCAATAATCTGTTAGCATAAAAGGATGGAAGACAAACTACTAAGGACGAACAACATGATATTTCCGCCTAATATCGCAAATAGCACCAACAAGAGCAAAAAAAGAAATTCAACTAGTGACAGAAGATACGATGAATAATTAAGAATGACGACGAATTATTCATCTTAGACGTGGGATAAAATGTTTTTCTGCTGTTGTTATTATTAGATCGTACGATATAAATTTTCTGTCCTTCTCTTGTCTCCTATATTGCTCTTATTTTGTGGTCATCACAGACAAGAAACCTTGTCTTTGTCTGTTTCACCTTGTACGCCTATTATTAAGTAAAAAAATATATATATCTAGAATATGTTATTTTTTTGTAATATACACATTCTCTGTTGGAGTTGCTGATAATAATATAAAGTGACAAAGACAAAAGATAACTCTATACTTTTTTGTGCAACGCACAATATAAAAATAAAGCTCAACAATATAATTATTTATATGTGTTTTGTACCAATAACAATATATATGAAATAGACATAAATGTAAAAATGATATATTGATGAAAAGAAAGCAGGAGATTGCTAACAAACTGTTCATTGGATGTAGTAGTTGCCTCGTACTAACATCTATACTTCGATAAATGTATAAGTATTCTTCTCTGTTTTTTTTTTACTTTAAATATCTCTTTCTTTTTGAAAAAAAAAAACAAAATAAAACATTCAATTACTTACCTTATAGTCCAACCATTGGACAATTTTGAAATGTTTGTAGTTTGATGCATGTTTAGATTTTCTGCTTAGAGTCACGCGCAATCTTGCAGCGGCGACGGACACTTAAAACTTATGTCCTGTCGTCGTCGTATGGTCTGTAACAAGCGAATAAAGACCGAACGCGAGTAAGCACAGAAAAAAAATGCCAGCGTCACAAAAACTGGACTATTTTTTTCGGTTAGTACAATAATATCAACTATCTTACCACAATCAGAGAGAGAGATGGGGTAAATAGAAAGAGATAAAAGAGAGTACGAAGGGGTAGTATTTAAATCCACCAACCAGAAAAACGCGGTTTTTCTATTCCATTCTTACTGATGAAAGATGAATATTGACTATGTATTACTAATTCTGCTATTTCTGTAGAGTACGAGAATTGATAACATATATAATACTGCATACAGATATACACAAGACATCTTTTTTTTCCCTCACAAAAAGATATTTGCCCCTCTTAATTTGTTCCGAAGATGATTGTCGTCGCCTTTTTTTTTTTATTACTCGTACTGTTGTTGTCGTCTACCGTAAATAGATACAAAAAAAATAGAAAAAAAAATCGAGAAAGAGAAGGGGAAAAAGCAAAAAAAATACATGTTGGAAAGCTCGAACTTGTTTTTTTTCGGGCGGGTTACTGTCCTTTTAGTATCACTGCGGTTATAAACTAACTAAGAAAACTGAACACGTTTTTTTTTTGCATCGTATTAACGTGTCAAATATTAAATTTAGTGTGAGATTTTTGTTTGAATTTGTATGGTAAGATAGAATATTTAAGAAAATATTTTTATTTAGTATTTTAGATTGATTGACACTTAAATAATTCGTGAGCCGTGTTCGTGTTCGTGTTCGCGTGCGCACGATGGCTTCTTTATTGAGGCCGATTATCATCGGTTTTATTTTATTTTTGTCAATTGTTAATCATATTGAAACTCGAACAGTGAGATTTAAGTATATTAGTTATTAAATTTTAGTGTCTTTATGATTTATTTTAGGCACAAAATGATAATGATGACGATTCGAATGTCCGAGTGAAAAGACAACTTAATAGATCGAAGAAAGTTCCATCAAGACCAGCTCGATCGGAAGATGGTGAAGATACATATATTCAAGGCTCAGAATGTAAAGGTTGTGGTCCACGACGTGATTGTCAATGTCCAGGAAAGGGTGCTATGGGTATCTCTGGTGCGTTGATTTTTTTTTGTTTTTGTATACATTATTTATTTATTTTTTAAATGTCTTTTATAGGTCCACCAGGCTTTCCCGGTGTTCCAGGTGACCGTGGATTAAAAGGTCCATCAGGACGAACAGGCAATCAAGGTATTCTAGGTGAAAAAGGTGATCGTGGTATATATGGCGCTAAAGGCGAACGAGTAAATTTCAATAATTAAATTTTTATTTGTGTTTTTTTTTGTTAATTTTATCAAAACTTAGGGTGATGATGGTTTATTGCCTATTGATGGTCAAAATGGTTTTCCTGGACAACCTGGTGCTATGGGTCCACGCGGTATTCCCGGTGTGCCAGGATGTAATGGTAGCAAGGTAAATAAAAAAACATTACAGCATATATTAGATAGCACGTCCATGTATACGTATTTACTACAGATATAAGAAGGCGGATAGTCTCTTTTTTTCTCCCCCATCTTGATTAGATAAGCACTAATCGCGCATAAATCAAGGATGATGCATCAGAAGACATATCAACACATAAGAAAAATATGCTAAAATGACGTCTGTTTTTCTTGTTTTTCTATATAGACACATAAGAAGATAGAAAAAAAAGCAATTCCATAGCCTTGATAAAATAGTGAAGATAAATGAAACCACATATGTGTTTGGTTTGTGGCATATCCTATCTTAAGTTCCAGACGTCCTAATTAACTGATTTAGTCGTTATGCATTAGACCTTGCAGATTTCTTTCATATGGATTGATAAATAAGTAGGAAAAAAAATGATGATGATGATATAAACAAACAACAACATAATATATGTTTTTTTTTGTCTTCGTATGTCTGTCTCTTGTCCTTGTTAGTTTATTTGCGGTTAAATGGCTTATTCATGCATGGAATATACATATACGTGTTTAGATAATTATTGAAAGAAAATGAGACGATTAACGATAAACAACAGCTGCTAAAGCATTTCAGTTTATGATTAATAAAAAAGGACAAATTACTAATGCTTCTTTGAAATATAACGAAAATAATTAAGTAACCGATTACTCTCTAAGTATACGTTTATCAAATGAGTAAAAAAAAAAAAAAGAATAATTTTTTTTTGAAATCGAACTAATTTAATTTTATAAGACATTCTTTTATATTTATATACACAATAATGATATCTTATTCTCATCGAAATTAATCTATATATCATTGTCATTGACGGTTGTCTTTGATTGACAGGATAACAAACGGATATTAAGCATACGACGTCATAGGAAATATCAACAATATTTTCTTACAGATTAAAGTCCAGTTGTTATGACGGAAAAAAAATTGATGAATTCTCTTATTAGCTCTATTTATATCAGTACAACTATGACGCATGTATATTGAAAAAAATACTATATGACTGATTGTTGTTGACAGTTTGAAGGTCTGTATCTATCCGAGAGAGAGAGAGAGAATTTTGTATCCTTGATTAATACAAAAAATGATATATTAATAGTATCATTTATCTATTGGTTTCAAGCGAACGAATAAAAAAATTACAATTTAAATTAATATATATTCTTTGATTATAGGGTGAATCTGGTGAAGATGGACGTGGTTTTGGAGTAGGAACTCCAGGTTCTCCTGGTTTACCCGGTAGAGTTGGTGAACCAGTAAGATATTATATATATATATATACATTTTGTTTTCTTTACGTAATAAATCATAATGATATTGATTAGGGTGAACCAGGTGAAACAATAGGTAATGGTGGTATCGTAAAGGGACCACGTGGTGATCCTGGTTTTCCCGGTTCGCCAGGTGTTGTTGTGAGTATAAATTAAAGAAAAATAAGTATCTTTCTATGAATTTTTTAATAGGGTTGGCCCGGTTCACCAGGTTCTCCTGGTATACCAGGTTCCGTGGGACTTCCAGGATCAGATGTAAGTTTTCTACTGATTTTTTTTTGTTTTTGTAACATAATCTTCATTTTTTCTTTCAATTTTAGGGTTCACCTGGATTAAGAGGAGATGCAGGATCGCCAGGATCAGCTGGTCCAGCAAGTTATGGTGTCAAAGGTAAACAAAAAACAAAATCCTTCAAAACAATATAAGATTAATATTTATTCTATTGTTTTTTTTCTTAAGGTGGACGTGGTGAACCAGGTATGAGAAGAAAAAAAAAGTCAAATCCAAAAAACAAGTTTTAAATATTTTCTTCATATTTAGGTGATAATGCTCCTACACCAGTAGATACAAATCAATATAATTATTTCCGAGGTATGAATATTCTCTTAGGTTATCATATATATGTAGAAAAAAAGAAAAAAAAAAGAAATATCAGTTGGACTCGGACCAGATTTGAGTTTCTGTCTTTTTTTGTTTTGCTTGTTCATTGTTATGATATCCTTACTTGGATTTAATAGATCGAATGTGTGGAAATAGACCCTGTAAGTATTCATATATATAAGATAATAATAAAGCTTTACCTTTCCATGCTTTTTTTTTTATTCGAAAGACAACTAAGACGAAAAGGGGCAGATGCGAACGTTTTATTTTACTACAAATTTAATAATAAAGAAATAACGTTCGCATGTTCTCAGCTTTTTCTTTTTTTATTATTGTTACACACATTTTTTTTTTATTGAGCTTTATAGCGCACCCCGGGAGCAGTCGACTCAGACACAACCGACATTTTTTTTTCGATCAGCTTGGGTTTTCTTTTTTTAACTTATTAATTTGTATTGAATTTTTTTTTCTATTTTCAAAGGTCTTACGGATATACATGGACCACAAGGTTCACGTGGACCAGCTGGGGATCGTGGTTATAAAGGTGAACGTGGTCAACAAGGATATTTTGTATGTAAATTTGATTCAATAATTTTTCATAATATGAAATATATATTTTTATTTTTAGGGTATCGATGGTTTACAAGGACCTAAAGGAGAAAAAGGTGATTTTGGTGCACCTGGTCCACAAGTAAATTTTTTTAAATATATTTATTTGTTGTCTAAAAAAGAAAAATCATAGGGTAAATTTGGTAAAGAAGGTCCACAAGGTTCATTTGGTGTCAAAGGAACAACAGGTCTGTTATATTTATATGTTAAATTTTCCTTCATTGTTTTTGTTTTTTGTCTTCTAGGACCACCAGGTCCACCTGGAGGTGATGGCCTTCCTGGCGGTAAGTTAATTATGGTAATATCATGCTCAGTTTTTTTTTTGTCTAAATTACAGAACCTGGCCGAAATGGATATCCTGGTCCAAAAGGTCAACGTGGTGACATTGGTGAACAAGGTCCAAATGTAAGAAATAAAATTTTTGTTTTTTCTAAGTTTATTTTTTTCGTTTTGTGTAGACTTATGGTGCTCAACGAGCTCAATCACTTCCTGGAGCACCGGGCTATCCGGTATACAATTTAAATTGATGGTTTTTTTTGTGTGTTTTTATTGGATGATTTGTGTTTTTTAGGGAATGACAGGTGATCCTGGATCAAATGGATTTGCAGGAGTTCCTGGTTTACCTGGTAAATAATCGAGAAATAATTAATAAATATAATTATATGATTTGATTTATAGGTTTCCAAGGTATGAAAGGTGAACAAGGTGATTATGGTTCACCTGGTCGACCTGGTCCTATGGGAGACACAGCTGATGCCGAAAAGGGTGATCGTGGTTTTGATGGTATGAAATAAGTTATTCAATTTCGTTAGAATATAATTTTTTTATTTTTTTTATTTAGGTCGTCCTGGTCCTCCTGGACTACCCGGTTCTGCTGGTAATATTGAATTTTTTTTTTAATGTATATATAAAAATTTTTTGATTAAATTAGGTACACCCGGTGACAAGGGTGGCATTGGTGATAAAGGACTTCCTGGTGAAGAAACATACGGTATATATTTCTTTTCTTTTTTTTTCAAAAAATTCAACATTTTTATATAGGACCACGTGGAAGTTCTGGTCTTCCCGGTCGTATTGGATGTAAGTTAAATTTTTTTGTCGAGTCTGAAACATATATGTTATCTATTAACTTCTTTAGATCCCGGTTCGATGGGACAGCCAGGTGATATGGGTGAACCAGGTCCACCAGGTAAGTATTGTTATAAATCGAAGGATTAATAATAGTTATCTTTTTTTTTTTATTATGTAAGGCATTCCTGGTGATGGCATTCACGGATACCAAGGTGAGAAATATTTTTTTGGTTTTTTTATATTCTAATGTATAATTCCTGGTTTTTTTTTAGGATATGGTCCATCTGGTCCACAAGGGTGAATAATACGTTTTTGCTAAGTATTGTTGTACATTGTGTTTTTTTTTATTTATTATAGATACCCCGGTCGACCAGGTGAACCCGGCCCACCTGGCTATCCTGGTATGTTTCTTTTTTGTTGAGATTTTCTAATAAGAATGTTTTTTTGTTTAGGTGTTTCTGGACTAAAAGGTGATGCTGGTGAGTATATTCAATAAAAAATTTATTTTACTTTATGTATCTTTTTTTTTTTAAGGTGAATCCGGTGGTTGTGGATATTGTCCACCTGCTGTTGCTGGTCTTCAAGGTGATCGTGGTAGTCAAGGTTATCGTGGACGACCAGGTGTAAGTATTCATTTTGAATGATATATTTTATTATTATTATTATTATAATTCTCTATGTCTATTTCTAGTTAAATGGTCCACCCGGTTTTCGAGGTAAGTATATGCAAATGTTTGTTTTTTTTTCTTCGAAAAGATATATTTAAAATTTTTTATTCAGGCCAAAAAGGTGATACAGGAACAAGTGGACCACGTGGATCTGATGGTTTACCTGGACCGGATGTAAGTAATTAGTTATTCTATTTGAAAAAAACTGCAAGAATAAAATGTGAAATCTATTGTTGTTAAATTACAAAGAGATTATTTTATTTAAAAGGGAATTCCGGGTCGAAATGGTTATCCAGGTATTCCAGGACGTAAAGGTGAATCTGGTGATTTGATTGGTGCTGATGGTATTAAAGGTAAAATATAAATATTTAAAAAAAACAATTTATTTATTTTTTGATATTTTGAACATAAAGGTCGTAGAGGACTAGATGGTGAACCTGGTGTTAAAGGTTATCATGGTGACGTTGGTGAACCTGGTATTAATGGACGTGATGGGTATGATATTTTGATTAAGAAAGATAATTACGAAATTTTGTTGAATTTTAGTTATGATGGTGCTCCCGGTGCTCCTGGCCCACGAGTATATGATTTTCTTGCTATATATATAAATAAACTGTCTTTTCTATTTTAAACAGGGTGCTTGGGGTGATATTGGACGTGCAGGAAGTCCGGGTACTTCAGGACCGAAAGGTAAATTATTTAATATTTATATATAAAAAAAAAAAAATATTGATGAATAGGTCCACGAGGTCAACCTGGACCACCAGGACAGATATTTGCAAGTGGCCCACGTGGTGACATCGGTGATCAAGGTCCACCAGGAAAAAATGGCCGACCTGGTCTTCCTGGTCTACCTGGTGATGATGCACCAATGTTACTAGTACCACCTGGTCCACCCGGTATTAAAGGTTATCCTGGAGATGCCGGGTAAAATTATTTATATTTGTTAAAAATTAGTAGAATTTTATGTCTTTTGTTTTTACTTTCTTCTAGTGATTCTGGTCTACCTGGTAAGTAATTGAATGAAATCTGTTCTGAATAATTTTTCAAAATATAAATATAAGGTGCTCCTGGTTTACCTGGCCGAGATGGTTCACCTGGGGCTAATGGTTTACCTGGTACACAGGTAAAAATAAAGTTAATTATTTCAAAAAGTTTTTAATAAAAATATTTATATATTTAGGGTGAAAGTGGTCGACCTGGTCTTCCCGGTTTACCAGGTTTGTTGAACTAATCATATTCATATTATAAATTATATTAAGATATTTTATTTTTTAGGCGAAAATGGTGTTAAAGGTAGATTAGAAATACGTTTATCAATTGTTTTTTTTTCGATAACAATCTTATATAGGTTATCCTGGTCTTGAGGGACGAACTGGTCTTGATGGACGGTAGGAAAATTTCTTTTTTTTTTTTGTATGTTTATTTATATGACATTATTCTTTAGACCTGGCGCTTCCGGAGCGAATGGATTATCTGGTGCACCTGGTATACCTGGTGCCAAAGTAAATTTCATAGAATAATGTTTATTATGATTTACATATTTGTTATTCGTATAAAAGGGTCAACGCGGTGAACCTGCTATTGCAACAATTTCTGGACCACAAGGTTTCCCAGGTCCAAAGGGTGTGGGTGGTGAACGTGGTTCGCCTGGTTTGCCAGGAGCTCGTAAGTTATTTGCGTAATCTTATTTTGTAATAATTTATAATTTTAGGCGGTTTACCTGGTGCACGTGGTATGCCTGGCACATTAGGTAAGTTAATAATATGTTGTTATTGGTTTTTTTTTTGCATTTGATTTTAATTATAGGCGCAAATGGTATTCCAGGATACGCTGGTCCGCAAGGACTTAAAGGAGAAAGAGGTATGTTTATTAAAAAAAAAATACGTACATGTAATTTTTTTTTGTAGGTGGTACAGCACCTGGTTTATTTGGTGATGTTGGTCTTCCTGGTGCTCGTGGTCGAGCTGGACGTAGATATTTTCTATAGAATATTTATTTATATACTTGTTTTTTTTTACTGTCTCATTTAGGTCCTGGCGCAGCTGGAGCTCCAGGTGGCCCTGGCCAAGTTGGTTATCGCGGTTTACCTGGTGATACGGTATGTTTTTTAATGAAAATGAATGAAATCGTTAAATGTATATCTTAATAAATAGGGTCTTCCTGGTGCAGATGGATCGCCAGGCTTTCCAGGTCAACCAGGCGAACGTATGTATACATATTATTTGATTGGATTTTATATTGAATATTTATTTTTTTTTTACAAAAAAAAACAGGTGGTGATAATGCAGGTCCTGGATATCCCGGTTTGACTGGAATGAAAGGTGAGTGATTCTTTTTTTTTTCTTTCTTTTCTATTGAATTAATTTTTTTTTCAAAGGTCGCCCTGGTTTTCCTGGTGAACGTAAGTAAAAAAAAATTATATATATAATTTCAAAATAAAAACAAATCGTGAAAATTATCTTTAGGTGGATTACCTGGCACTCCTGGTGCAAATGGTTTTCCAGGTTTACCAGGTCCTAAAGGATATCAAGGTAGAATTCTTTTTTTTTTAGAATGAATTGAATATTATTATTCTATTTATTATGCAGGTGATGCTGGAGAACCAGGTATGGGTGGTGGTCAAAGTTTACCAGGTCGAAAAGGAGAAATTGGTAAATATATATAAATAAGATAGAAAAGAAGAAGAATTTTTTTTTGTATTGTAGGAGAGACTGGTA